AGCCTTTTGTACAATATTATGTTCTTTAACTATTTATTAAGGATCTATGTGCATCACTTCATTATGTTCTTGTAATACAACAAAACTCCTACTCCTGGTATAATTAATATCTTTAGGAAAAGTGATTTGACCTACTCTTGGTGAGAAGCAGGTTTTCCACTTAAGGCACGCTGTGAAAAAGAGAAAGAAAATTACAAATAAAAAAATAAATAAAAATCATGTAAAATTATGATCTCATGCAAACAGACAAACTATTTATTGGATCTCTTACCTATTCTCTTTGGATCAAGGTACTTTTCCGCCATCTCTCCAATAGTCAGAGTGGTAACTGCAGTCGAGGACGACGTGGATGCTGCTGGTTGCTGCTCGCTCACTGCTGCAGCTGTTGGTTTAGTTGTGACAGATGCATCCTCGGCTGATGCTGCATCTGTTTGTGTCTTCACTGCAGTCACAATATCTTGTAAGAGATCAAATTTAATTGAGATCAATATCCGTTTTTTAAAAAGACGTGATCATCTCCACTTTCTCACTCTACTCCCCCTTTATTCCATTACCAACTATTTCAAACAAAATATGAAACACATTTCATATTCTACAAACACCACATGCCACATTTTGACACACTTTGCCATCCATCCATTATGAAAAAGGTCTCCGACATACCTTTTTGCATTGTTTTTGACTCCACCCCTCCAGCTGGCAGCTTGGCCTCCACAACAGCTTCAGTTGGGCTTCTGGCAGCCTGCTGTTGCACATGTGAAGCATCTGTCTTGGTCTCTGGCCCTTGTGCAGCAAACTCTGCTCCTGACAGGGTTCTTTGCTGGCCGTGTAGTAAAGCTTTGACAGGCGTTTTGTGTTGGCTGGGATCTCCAACTGTACTGGTTAGTGGTTGGCTATCACTGGGTTTGCATGCTGATTTCCTGGTACAAACCTCTGTTAGTTGGTTGGTTTTTACCCCTTTGCCCATCAGCACAACCCTCCCAACTTCGTGGCGCTCTGCCACTGTTAACTACTGTTCCCCAAGCTGCATGGGTTCAGTGGTTCTTCAGTGTCATATGGTTTGTGAGGTTTTGCCTTGATGCTTCCGGTTTCAAACTGGTCAACATTTGGCTCGTTTACAACAAATCTCACTGTGTCTCAAACACCACCACAGAGTTCTTGAACTTATTCAGATTCTTGAGGCTGTGGATTTCTAACATCAATAGATTTGGAAGGCAACACTTTCGGCCTTGTGCAGCCTTTCTTCAACTTTTTCCGTTTTTGCACAGCCTCCCTGCGCACCAACATGTCTGCTGGAGTTTTGGCTTTCTGCTGTAGTTGAGCGCCGTTTCTGCTTTAGAATCCAAAACCTTTTTTGCTTCAGTTGATCAAACGCTTTTGCCTTTTGTTGGTTCAGTAACAGTCCATGTTTGCCAAATCATCAACCTCCAGCCTGTCTTTTTCTACGCCCGGACCCCACAGATCATTTAATCACATGGTTTCAGCATTCTTCTTACAGCATGAGTCACCAGTGTCAGGCGGATTTTCAGAGCCTATGGGGTCTTGGACTTCTGAGGACAATGTTCGCTCTTACGTGGCTTCTTTTCAACAGGTCCTTGGAGGCAACTTTCGTCGCTTTGTACCATTTTAGCTATCTGCATGCGCTTGAACCTGTTCTCTCTTCGCTTTAGAAACCACAATGACCTCATTGCTTTAGTGACAGCTGACAGGCTTTAATGCGAGCTTTAAGCCAGCATTTTCTGATTGGCAAGTTTGCGATTGCTGCAACGCTGTCTGGTGCCTCCAGCAGGGTACAAAGGCTCCTTCAAGCGACGCGCGCATCCGTTCGTGTAGGCGAGAAGTTCCTTTTGAGGTGGTGGTGACTTGCTGTTGTTGGGGGATCTGGGGTCCGCGTTTCAGATGTGGACTACAACTGAAGAGACCTCTCCAGGTTTTCTGTGAACAAACAGACAGTTTACATGGGGTCAAAGGAGAGTCAACGTCCCTTCCAAAGCGCTCACTCTGGAATTGACTTAAACCTTAATCATCACAAATAAGAAATCTGTGAAAGCCAACTTACGTGTAACGTAACAATCGCAACAATACTCGAACCTGACATTGTAACGAATAACATAAGACTCGACATATCATAGTACCTAACGACCAAATCCTACCTTCTGAGGAGGGGCCTTCTTGCTCTCTCAAGTCAGTCCTCCGCCTAGAGTTCAGTCTCCGGCCTAGCGAGTCAGTCTCCCGGCCTACCGCAAGTCAGTGCCTCCGGCCTACGGATCAGTCTGGCCTTAACCGCCGGCTTACAGACCAGACCCCCCTGTCTCCGGCTTAGAGCCAGTCTCCTGTAAACAAATAAATTGTTTACTGACAAATACAGACAAATGTTGACATGCAGATTTTTCAGGGACAGAGAAAGAAAGACAGAAAAAGTGTAATACCTCTTCTCTGACAACTGCAATTTTTGTTCCATTCACATCAAGGCTCTTAAGGCTCTTCAATTTCTTGGCGTCTTCCTCCTTCTCGAAACACACGATAGCCTACATGTTGACACACACATATTTGTATTACTACAAATGTCGGGACCATCTGCTCAATACATTTACACATTAAACATCTTACCACACTTGTTAAAGCTTACATGAGATTTAAAACGTTAAAGTAAAGTAAGTACAGTCCCAGCACAGGGGGCATGGCCTTGTGGTTATGGAGTGTGTGCAGCGGAGGTAAAATCGATCACCTATCAGAGACAGACTGACCACCGCTCAGTGTAGCAGGAATACAGCTGCTGGTAGTCAGAGCTGACAGAACGAACCAGCCGCGAGCAGCTACTGTTAGACTCTCCGTGTCTGCGCTGGTAACACAGAGTCCGCTGGAGCTTTTACAGTCACTAGAAGCACATTCGTGGAGGTTTGCAAAAGTTTCTGTGTGGTACCTGTGCTGAAATGTTAGCTAAGTTAGCGGCTCAGAGAGGCTAACTTTCTGGTGTCTGTGGGGAGTATATATAATAGTTATTATATAGTAGTATCATATAATAGAGAACAGAGAATTTGGTGACTTTGGATTAATTAGATTTGTTAATTTGTTTAATCTATGATACATTGTGTCTTAAGCAGCTGAGAAAGAGTATGGACACATCATACACAGTCTTCACTCTCTCTATACATACCTCCAGTCTGGCCCGAAACAGAACAACTGACTTGGTTTTTCCAAATTGCTCCACAGCAGCAACAATATCATTGTGAGAGACGTAACTATAAATCCCTTGTAGTTTCACCATGGTTGGAGGTGAAGTTTTACCAGACTGAGCAAAGAGAGATAAAAACACAGTTAGAACTACTCAAACTGGCTGTCATTTAAAATGGTTAAAAGAAAAATGCATCCGTGTTTTAAGTGTCAAACCTTAATGCCATCCGTTTCAGGCAACATGCTTTTTACATAGAAATAAGTAGTAAGTAGTAGTAAAATGTTGTTGATTCATGTGTTATGTGGATAAGCTTTAAATTAAAAGATAGAGACAAGAAGGGAAGAAGAAAGTAGTGTTTACCAGATGATAAATTTCCCTGGTACATTAACACGCACATACACACACCTTAATCTTTGTGGAAGAACTTGCCTCACTCTTCTCCATGATAGGCTTGGCTTTTGAGGGCTTTGTTGTTAACTCCTTCTTTAAAGTAAAAGGGAATGATGAGCAAGAGGCAGCAGAAGAGAATTTCTTTCCTTCTGCAGAAGGAGATGAGGAGGGTTTTCCTCCTTTAGAAGCGGAGGAGGAGGGTGATGATGATGATGAAGAGGATTTCATCTTGCTTAGCTCGGCCAGTAAGGCAGGAGCCAGAGTTTTAACCACCACCTCCAAATCTGACTGTTTTGACAGAGACTGGACAGCTAGAGGGACAAAGACGAAAACAGTGTAAAACTAAATTGCAACGTTTTGATTGCAATGTCTCAGACAGAGTCAAAGTGATCTTAACTTTGCTTCTTAATTCATAAGCTGTTGACATCTTTTCTTTGGGAAATGTTTTAGCTGAACCATAGCTACATTTTCTACATGAAAAACATTTCTTGGGTTTTGCAGTTTAATTGATATTATTTTGTTGCAGCCCTAAACTGCAAATCTTGAAATCGTAATTATCTAAATATTTGTGGCATTCACTATATAGCTCTAGAATAGGTACAGGTATGTTGAGTACCAAGACATGTTTTTAAACACGTTCTTTAGTTATGTGGTATTGAAATGTTTGCAATTTGTCAAACCTGTTGTTTCCAGGAGCTTCTTGGCCAGTCTCTCTGCATTGCTCGTCTTCTTTTGTTGAGGGGATGCCTCTTCTGTGGACGATCGCCTCTCCCGGCTCCCTCTCGGAGATGATCGTCTCTCACCACTCCTCCTCGCTGGCGACTGTCTCTCACGACTCCGTCTCGGAGAAGACCGTCTCTCGTCACTCCTCCTTGGTGAGGACCACTCGTCTCTCCTCTTCCGATAGCGGGAGGAGTTCGGGCGGTCATACCATGGGGAGGGAGACCGAGATCGGGACCTGATGAAAGTCAATCACTTTATAAGTCAGTAAATCTAATGATAAATCCAAATGACAAACCTGAAGAGGTCAAAATGAATGTTGATGCAGATGTTCTGAAGATACAGATTAAATTGGTAATTTCAAAATATGGTGGTGAGATGTATCTTTTCTGCTCTCCTATGTTATTACATAAAGCAGAATTTATGTGTGACAGACCTCCGAGTATATCTGGAAGTGTGAGGTGATTGTGATCGTTTTCTGTGCTCCCTTCTACCCCCCGAACCCCTGAGGCGACGGGGGCTGGACGAGTGGGAACGGGAGCGACTTCCATGACTGGTTGCCTGGTAACGATGCTGGGAAGTCTGTGCAGAGGTTGAGGCAGCAGGCTTGGCATCTTTGTCTGCAGCCCTGAAGAGAGCAATGGATGAGAAAAGCATTAGATAATGACAGGAAAGGACAATTTGCAAAAATCTGCAGGGTGGTTCACAACTGCCTTGCTTTAGTTTTCCATATCTGAAAACTAAAACCAGACAGACACTTTGGATGGACTTGATCCCCAAATTGGTTGACTTGGACCATTTCTACAGACTTTAGAAATGTACCTGGGCCCGGGTGCTATCTCACCATCCCACTCTGGATATCTGGGGAAAAAAACAATTCAAACACATCTATTAAAACTGTAAAGAGCCAGATTTTAAGAAGAAAAGTTTCTGTATTGAGGTAGGTGGTGACAAAGCAGTTGCATTTACTAAATACTAAAGTCAAAGGAGGAACTGTACATGTTCTGCTGCCTAGAACTATAAAACAACCAACAAAAGGCTCCTTTAAGAACCCATTTTTAAAGAATTTATTTAGTCTGACACTTGTTTCACTAGCCTCCCAACAATGGGGGTTCAGGAAAGACCATTCGAGGGACATGTTTTAATGTTGTGATCTTTATAAGGAAAAGTTAAAAGGAAAAAGACTGACTGTTTTCGCAGAACTTTGCAGTTCTCAAGGTGAAGGGTGGTGTTCTGGTGGGAGATCCAATCCTAGTAGTCAGAACAACAGACACAGCATTTAGATAGGCCTCACTTTTTTTAAAATAACCTTCAATATCTCAACTGGGATTGTCGAACACATTTTTCAATCAAAATATATTGATATATTTAATACAGCAGCCTTAAAAAAGATCCTGTGTCTACAAAAGCAAAAAATTTTTTTGCTGGTTTCTTTAAGCCATCAGCAGTCATCCAAAAAGCAGTAAAAAACTTAAACCCAAATGAGGTACATAAAAAGTTGTGTTTAAATCATGGCTTTAGTAATTCTAAAATGCGTATGGCTGGTCGACAACTTTGCCAACCCTGTCCTTAAAAATTGCAGCTGGCTTTATAGTCAACTTAACAATAATTTGAGCTCAAGAACAACAAGTTTTTATCATGAAACATAACAAATACAGGAGTTCCAACAAACAACCAAAATAAAAAAAGTTCTTTTAGGGTTCTTGATGTCTGGTTCTTCAGTCTTCTGTCAAATCAAAGTTTTCTGAGGTTTGGTCATCTCAGCAGAGGCGATCATCAAGTATGGATCAGGACAAAAACACACAAGCTGAGACATCTGGTGTAGAGCCAGGACAGTGTGGAAACTGCAGAGAAGAACTGTTGAGGCATCGGGTACATTTATTTGTAGAAGTGACTGGAATTACTTTTGGGGACACAAAAATATACAAAAAAGGGGAGCCCGGCTCCATATTGCAAAAAAGCAATACCTAGTGTTCGATATGAAATGAGTTACAGTAGTAAAGTGAATGACCGACAGCTCAAATTGCAAGGGAAAAAAATTATACAACCATAAACAATTGTTGAAATTCAAACTGAATATACATTGTGAAACAAAAGGGGGAGGGGGGCATCCTTGATCATCCTAGTTCTTCAGACTTGCAGATTCTTCCTCGTCACGTCTTCAAAGCCCATTGTTCGGTTGGCATCTCATCGTTACCTCCGTCAGTAGCTAGCCTGGAGGGGATCATGCCTGGTTCAGGGGCACCGAATCAGGGGCACCTAACTATGTAGCAGCCCCTTCGTTCAGACATCTCTCCATACATTAATGCAAGCATATAGGTTAAGCATAGGTGTTTCTCGGCCGTGTGTGTAAAATAACAGAATGCATGCCTTCGTCTTCGACTTTTTAACAATTAAAATCCTTCAATACTTCCCCACAAAAAATAGAAAAAAAAATGTAATTGGTATTTAAAAAAAAGAAAACAATTTTAGATACTGAAATAAACAACTCGCAATTTCCTAAAGGGAGAAAACAGGGTGCAGTCTTCCACTTACCTTCATATGAGTACATGGTTGGTTACATAGAGAACAGGTATGTGGAAAGATTCTCGGTGAGGCTGCTGCATAGTCATGCATCATGGCTGGCGTTGGCAGACGACTGGCGGCTGCCAACTTTGCAGGAGGCTGCCTGTTGGTAGTCGACAGTATCATGTTCTTGAAGCCTATCAGGCTCGGGATTGCCTGGTGCAGAGCTGGAGGATGAACAATGGAACGAGGGGCTCTCAGCGGTGAGGAATATTCAATGCGGATAGAGCAGCGCGGCCAATGGTCTTTCTCAGGCAGAAAAATGGTGGCACGCGGCGGTTGCCGTCATGCACTAGGGGGCTTGTTCTCGATGTGCTGCTTCGATTGTTGCTCGCATGGCTTCTTCTCATTGCTGCTGGGTCTGCTGTTTTCATCTGCTCAGCAACTGTTGACCCCTTGAACTTGAGTTTTACTCCTGATCCTTAGAGCCCTTGGTGTCATTACTGCCAATGCAGCCAAGGGCCAGCCGGCTGGGGGTGCACACCATGTCACACAGTGCTGGTTGTTTTGTCTTATAATGCTGAATGGCTGATCGTGGCTCTGGCGTTCCTTTTTTGAAGGACAGGTTTGAGGTTCAGTTGCGAAACAACTCTGCCTGGTCTGTGCTCTTTTGTTTGGCAGGAGATCAAATAGTGAGGCATAGTTTGCATGCGGTTCGGTTGGGTTGCAACTCGGGTCCTGGCTCTGCGGTCATCTGCCCTGGGGGCGAGCCACGACTCAGTCCATGGACCTCGCGGTCGACGTTCCTCGCACGCACTGGCGGGAACAGACATGCCTGTCATCGTGCCGAACCAAGGCTTGCCGTTCTACTGCTCGCCGCTCTTGACCAGAACTGTCTCCGGGCACATGCCCAGATTGGTGCATCTGGTGAGCATCGCGGCGCGCGCTCCAGAGAACAAAACCACGCAACAACATTACTTCACAGATAGTAAGTCATAGGACTACATAAACCAAACATACACACACAAAAAACACTCCAAAAAAAAACACACATATAAGATCCAACACCCAATAATACGGCTTCTGGCTTGCGAGAGCAGCCAGATGACATTTCTTTCCTGACGCAGTCCTGCCCATCCAAAACTGCTCAATCTGTGACCGTCCAGGTCCAACCGCTGTTCTGGTGGGTTGGGGGTCGGGGTACGGCGTTTTGGCTGAGCCTGCTGTGATAGCCCTCTCTTGCCTCCTTCTGAATGCGGATCTGGCGCAAGATAAGCGGCATGGTTAGCAGGATGATTCGGTCTTCAGGGAAGGAGATGAGATGTTCCAGTCCTCTTTTCAAGTCAAATTGCGCAGAAGGATGTTGGGTCGCTGAAGTTCAGAGAGTGTACTTTGGGTCGACTGCGACCTCCTGTGGGGGGCTGCAGGTTTGTCCGCACTGGATAAGTCATAGATACCAGTAACCCCGGAAGTAGACTGCCTGATTCATGTTCTCGTCTTCTCCTGCGGAGCCATAAAACCTGCTGTCACACGCTTGCATAGCTCAGACTGAAGCCAGACTGGAATAGCATGTATTAGGGTTACATCAGCAGGTGGCCCTTTTTGTAGTTTGATGACCAGTCCAGGATGCTACTGCCACTTTCAACGTTGAGTGTCTGCGTCCTAGGAGAGGCCGAGGCTTGAGGACATTGGTACGGAGCATCCCTTGTGCGCCTGAGAGCGAAACTCCCCCTCTTTGTGCTGGTAAACGCGAGTTGGCTCTGGTCTAGCGGACTTGGAGTAATCGGTTCTTGCCGAGAACCCTCACCTCCTCTCTGGCTCTGCTAATCTGAATATCTATGGACCTCTCTATGTCCTCGTCCATTGTGGACCTACTCTGTTCAGGCCTGTAGCCCATTGACTGAGACATCAGCGATGAGTGAACTCCCCCAGAGTTGGCAGAAATTGTAGAGGAAGCTTCGGAAGGACTGAAGCTGGACCCAGGTCCAAGACGAGAATATGTCCTCCGAGGGTCTCTCTCTGCCTGCGTAAGGGGAGGTCCATACTGCCCCTGGGTAGAACTTTGGTTCTGAGAGGCGTAGGGGTTGTACAGAGGATTGGACATTGTGTTTGCAATCTTAGGAAGGTTTAGGAGATTGATGGCCACAGCAGTTGGGGAGGGGGGTGTTGTAGGTATATAGGGAGCAGGTGTGTTGGGAGTTGGCTGTAGAGGTTGCGGCTTGGGAGCGAGAGAGTGTCTGCGTCAACGCTAGCTGGGCGGCCTGCTGGCCAATCAGGAGTAAGCTCCCTGGGAGCCCTCCAAGTAGAGGGCTTTTTAGGGGCAACGCAAAGCTGAAAAATTAAAAAAAAACAAAAGGAAAGGGTTATTGAATGGGACTGGACTTCAGCTTCTCGGTTGGATAAAATCCCCCATCTGGACGGTCGTGTCTTGAGCTGTCCACCCTGGTGTTTGCTGTTGGATAAACATGTGTTCCCGCTATTTCGTCTTCTGGTCTGGTTTTCACTAGCAAGAAAGAACAGAGAAGGCAGAAGCAACAAAGCACAGATAAAGAGAGAAAACAAGGTCTTCACACCATGATCATGTCTGCTGGAAACAGTTGAGACTGGCACCAGCAGACAAAGCACATTGCAAAAATGAACATCTGACAATTGTAAAGTCCACTTAAGAACGTCACATTAGATCATAGTGGAAGACGATGCTGACAGCACAGTTTCCGAACGCTGGCATGAACAAGGTAGTCTTTAAGATTAAAACGGTTGGTTTGAAAAAAAAAAAAAAACACCAAAAACAATCCAAGAATCATGGAAAGTGTTGGCAGTTTCATTTAAAAATGAATCCACACTGGCTATTGCAGACTTCTAATCCTTCCCGAACAGAGTCAACGTTTTAGGTGACAAATCCAAGACCACATTGCAAAACACTGAAAATAACTGCATCTGTTTTTTTTGCACTGCTGTCTTAATGATTGGACTGACAACTAGGGCTGGAAACAAATATTCCACTCGCACACACACACCTCTGCACCTTTGTAAAGGCTTTTCAAACGGCGTATTCTCAGCCCAGGACTAAAGACTAAAGATTTATACTTCTGCATCAAATCGATACCGTAGATTCGGCGTAGCCTCGGTGCGTCCCCTTGTATTCCCTCGTCCGTACGTTGCCACGAGGTAGTAGGGGGGGCGAAACGAGGGAAAAAAAAAAAACAGATTGCAGAAGAGGAACAAGGGAGAGTTTTGATTTCAGTCGAAACTCAACACAGTGGCAGAGAAACCCCACAATGTAGACACAACAGCACAAAGGTAGAAATGCTCAACGCTCAGTAAATGCTTCAAGTCACACAAAATATGACACGAATGCGAAATAATGCCTCCAAAACTCACCAGTCAACTCTTCAGCGCTCAATTGGGACTTGTTGCTCACGTCTGATTTTTCACGGCCCCGAAGTGACCCGCATGACGAATGTTGACCTGGAGGGACATAAAAGTCACATGAGTTCTGATAGGACCGCTCACACCGCTACACAAATCATACCTGTATCTAAATTTGGACCACGTATAAAAGCCTGAATCAGAACTTAGGAAAGAGTTCTATCAGAACCAGCATTAACTTCTTCAGCTACAGCAGCGCGTCTGTTGGATCGGACCACACGGGCATCAGTGAGCCTTAAACCTGGCACCAGTTCACCTTTCTGGACAGGTACCAGACCAGGAACGCCCCACAAGAGGTGCTGACCCGATCGTCTGACCATCACAATGTGGCTCCTTATCAAAGTCTCTTAAATCCTCACTTTCCTTGCTTTTCCTGCTTTCAACTTTAAAGGGAAGTCTCACATATGTCACCCCATGATAACCACATAATCAGTGTTATTCACTTCACCAGTCAGTGCTCAGGTTATGGTACAATAACACACTTAAAACACAACATATAGACCTGTTTTATGCCTTTAATAACCCCTTTTTTGACTTTACAGAGGAAGAGAGGAAACTGACTACTTTCAGCTGCGTCACAACAACAATGCAAACACTTCTGAGGACGCACTTTGTCCGTGAATGACCGAGCTAATATAATATTAGTTCAATATCTTGCAGGTGTGAAGGTCTAAATGGTGGCGATGCTGTTCGATATGATCCACGGAGCTGAACCAAAAGCTCACACTAAAACACGCACACAAGCCTTAAAACCCCCATGTGTTTGGGTTAATACTTAACCTAACTCAAGAAGCTATAAAAACCCGTTATTTGTTCGTCTTTACCTGTTGTTATGTGAGTGTTTTCGGATCTTCGGGTTTGTTGTCAAGGGACCGTCGTTCTTCTTAGACTTCCGGTTTCTTCTTTCTTCTTTCTTCAGCAGGTTTAATGGCGGCTGGTAAAGCAGCTGATGAGTGTTTTTACCGCCACTTAATGGTGGGAGTGTGGAGCAGTTACAGATTGGCAGGTAGACAAAAAGAGAAACATAATTCAGTTTAATTAAAAGGGGCTTTATTGAGATGGTACGGAAGCGTATTGCATGCACTTGAAAAAAAAACAAAACCTTTTTTTCTCGTTTTTCTAAGTAGTTTGTTTTTTTTAAATATTTTTTTCTGTTTTTTTTTAAATATTTTTTTCCCCCTGTTTTTCTGAGTCACTTTTTTTCCTGTTTTTTGTGGTAATTTGTTTCCCCTCTGTTTTTCTGAGTGATTTTTCCTGTTTTTCTGAGTAATTTTTCCTGTTTTTTTTTGTAATTTCTTCTGTTTTTCGGAGTAATTTCTTCTGTTTTTCAGAGTAACTTTTCCTGTTTTTCTGAGTAATTTTTCCTGGTTTTTGGGGGGATTTCTTCTGTTTTTCAGAGTAATTTCTTCTGTTTTTCAGAGTAACTTTTCCGGTTTTTTTTTAGTAATTTCTTCTGTTTTTCGGAGTAATTTCTTCTGTTTTTCAGAGTAACTTTTCCTGTTTTTTTTAGTAATTTCTTATGTTTTTTGGAGTAATTTTTTTTCTGAATTATCAAGATACTTCGAACTCCCGCGAGAACCTCCAACCAAGTGACATCCCCCATTGGACCTATGTGACTCCTGCCGCAACATAACATGCCCCATCTTCAACTATCTCCTACGGGTCAATTAAGGA